CAGTGTACACAAAACTGTTAACTGAATGTTATAATGAGCATAAAGGGTGTGTATATTGTCCAGTGGCCACGTGGCCAATTCAGCTTTGGCAGTCTAGGAGGGGAAAAAACATGTCTAGTTTTCATTCGTATGTTCAAGTAAATAACCATTTGTCAGGGGCTGTGTTTGTTTTGTTTTGTAAAATGAAGGCAACAGGATCCCTGCAATGAAGAAGTAAACATTGCAACAATGTAGTTGCTTTATCTTTCAACCTTGTGCCTTCCTCTGGATAGCTGGTTTAAGGGGGCTCAGTGGTGAGTTAAAAAGAACATCTGTATTAGTGAAATTGCTTGGTTAAATCCAGCTTTCTGAATTCACAAGTGGAGCAAGTTTGTATTTTATAGAATTTGCCTGGAAGAGTGATATTTGTCAGGTCAGTCTTTTGTCAATGTAAATCTGTTAAGGAAGGTTTAGCTGTGACGTGTTGTTTAGGATGAATTTTTCTCTTTCATTCACTTCCTTTTACACACTAAGTAAGTTCTATTCCAATACATGAGCGATATACTTCTTCGCTCATAATTATCAAACTGATGGAAAAATTGGAGATACTATCCAGGATAAATATTGGTAAAATTACTGTATTGAATTTACGTTACGCTTCAGGAAAAATAAATATTTATTTAAAAGTTTAGGAATTTTACATATTTGCTTGTTCAATATTATTTTGTTGTCCCTATACCTTTAAAGCCAGCCTACTTTCTTAAATGAATATACAAGTCTTGAAACAGAAGTAAAAACAGAAATAACATTTACGGTTATAACATAACAGTTCTTCTATAAATCACAGTGCTGAACTTCTAAAGTCCTTTCCTATTTTAGAGGAAATTTCTCTAATGTAGGTGGATCCCTAAGTTGTTTCCTTTTTTTGCACTTTGATCTTCTCTACAATGGAAAAATTCACTAAGCTAAATAATATAAATATGTGTGTGTGTGTGTGTATTTATATTTAAAGATATAAATAATAGCTTTATATCTACTGATAATTTGTAGTTTACCTAACATTTAAATGATAGCTATCCTGAAGTACCAGTATCAGTGGATTGTTTGTGTATGTTTATGAAATCTACAGAATGTGCAAGGTTGGTAAGTATTGCAGTAGTTAATGGTACAAGAATTGTACCTGATCATCAGGCAAGAAGAATTAAATGATCTTGTCAATTATGACAACAGAAATACAATGAAATAGAATAATCTCTAGTAACCCAAATTTAGAGGCTGGTTGTGCTCACTTTTCTCTATAGCAAGGAAAATGGTTCATTTTCCAGAATTATCTAACAATATACCTAGCAAATATCCTGCTGTTGTAAGGCCTTAGGATGCTGTCACCCATTTTTTACTGTCTTCCTGTGGATCATTATAGTTGTGACTTTCCTTCTTTCATTCACAAATGTATTAGGAATGTTGTTTGTCCTGTAGTAGGAGATACTAGTAGGGGATATTCTGTTGATCTTTCCCATTGACTGTTTGAAAATGATTGAAGAGTAGATACTACATGGGTTACAGTCTGTATCAACCTCATGTTCTTTTGTTCCATTCCAGCTCCATCATTTGCATTTTTTTGACTGTATGACCTGTGCAAAGTGATGTAGGAAAGCTCTTTATTTTAATACATATGAATATCAAATCTATCCTACCTAATCATACCTACCTAATCATATGGATAAAGAAGCAGGAAATATTCTTTTAGTAGCTATGTTTTTTAACTGAACCAAAAAACAGTTATCAAAATAATGTGTTGTATTAGATGATTCAGTATGGACTATAGAAATAGTTAATTTGATACAGCTAAAGTACATGTTTTGAAGAATCTGATTTACTTGTTTCTCATATTCTGTTTAATTTCTGTCAAGATTATTGACATAAAGGAGATTTATTCTTTGTACCTAATGCCACACTTGTCATAAGACTCACATTGTACTATTTAAAAAGGAATTGTCTAACTAATGGGTGCACAATTTTCCTGTTACAGATTCGGTATACTTTATATGTTTTCCATATATTTTAAGTCCTCACATTAGATCCTTACGGGAAAGTAATTCCCTTTTCTCATATTACTTAGCCTATTTGTATGAGCTGAGTGTAAAGAATTAAATTACTTTAAAAATTTTTTTTGAAGATAGAGCCTCATTGTGAGTAGTTTTATATTTTTATGTTATATGATGGTTATTATAGAATTCTTGTACAATTTAATAAATTGATTCAAGAAAAGAAGACTAAATTTTCTATTTTGGTCCTTTGTCTTAGTATAAGAGTGCACATGGCCTTTGTGCTGACTTCTGCATTTTTTATTTCCACTTCAAGCTCTTTTACTATTTTGTTCACTATTTTGGAGCAGAAAAGCAAAAAATCTAGATCCAGATTTTTCAAATCATTTAAAAATATTATATGGCTAACAAGTCACAGGTGTTATTAAAGCACTAATGACTTAAAACATCTTGTTAGACAATTCCTATGCTTTGCCTTAAACTCTATTATCTGTCAAATTCTTCTTTTACAATGATAACTGTAACTGAGCTTGAATGAAACCATATGAAACGGAAAAACATGTTCCTGTACTAAACCTTAATGTAGGCTACAAATTCTTATTCAGTGAATGGGCCTTATTTATATTTAATTTTACAAATACATTTATATTTAATTTTTTAAATTAATTTTTTATAAATATTTATAGTATATGTACATATATAATGTACATTAAATTTATACAGGTATATCTTATATTTAAATATGTAGAAAGAAAAATTCATGTGCTATATTATGAGACTACTCTTTGAAAAATCCACTGGGCGTAAATATAAAATGCCTCAGGGGAAATAGCAGTTTAACCTTACTGAGAGTTTTCTGACAATGTAATTTTGTCAGATTCTTCAATCCCCTACGAGAGCTCTTTTTTTTCCCCCAAATGAGGATGAAGTGTCCAGTCAACGTAAGAAAGATTCAAAGAATGTCTGTTAGCCATATGGTTAGGATACATATTTGTAGAAAAGGAGACTGAGGTTTAGGTCTGTGCTCTATCTAACTAGATTAAAGCTAGCATCAAGCACATTTTTTTTCTCTAACTTTTCTTTTTGTCACCTGCTCCATCTATTTATTAATAGTGCTTAATTAATAGAAGTTAGTACTCGGCCCTCCTCTCCTGGCTATCATTTCATTTTAAGCTCATGTGAAACACTTTCAGTACTGGAAGCAACGTAACTAGATCTGCCAACTTTCTAAAGACTCAATACGCTATGTCAAAGTAGGAGTGCTGGTGATGGGAAGCCTTTGTCTCCTTGGCAGGTCTCATGAAGTGAAGGAGGTGTGCCAGGCATATCTCACTGCTCATTGTCATAGGAGTGGGATGTGGCTTCTAGCAGTGTCTTTAAGCCCAGGCTCTTTTTAGAAAATATTTTGCACAAGTATGCCCAGTCAGATCTGGCACGTGACACTTTAGATCAAAAGAGATCCTAAAGCACTTATCTTGCTGATTTGTCAAGTAGGGCATAGGAGATGAGGAGCGGAAGGCAGGGTGGGTTCAACAACATCCTCAGAACATTGTTTGACACATTATATTGTCCAAGATCTTTCTGAGCGGAGTTATTTAGAGAGAATGGGACAACTATGTGTTTCATGTTCCTTTGAGTTGGTGGGCTTTGAAGTTACATAGCATACCTATGTAAAAAACCTATTTAGGGTTTTTAGTTACCCTAAAACTCTGGTCTAAAACTATTAGAACAAGAAGTTGTCCTGTGGTATTCTACAAGTTAAATGATTTTTTGACCATTAATCCTTCGTTTCCCTCTGTCATGCTCTTTCTTTTTCTCTGTAGTTTGTGATTTGCTCTTGATTTTTTCAAGCAGCATGAAAGAATTTTTAAAGCTTTCTAGGGACAAGACACTATTCCTTGTCCAGCACTAGAGCTGAACATTTCATACAGAGAATAGCTTAAATTAAAATATTACTTATAAGTCTAGTAGATTTACTTGTACTTAAGAATTGTACACAATACAATAACTGTGCATTTCCTAGGAGCTTACAAACTGGAAATTGGCTCTGATCATAACATATAAAATATGTGTTAAGATGTGCATGACACTGAGGAATAGAATATATTAAAATTTCAGCAAAATTGCTGGAAGTTTTTTTGTCAAGTCACAATTTACATGTAAGAACTAGTTTCAGCATAAGTCAAAAACTACCATAAACATGCTTTTAAATTAAAAATATAGCAATTTAGAATTGTTTTAATATATCCTTACTTTGTCAGCATTATAGAACGTTGATATTGCATGAAATGGATAATGACATGGTGATACTGACCATCACTCAACGAATATGGAACCAGAAGTAGCCAGGCAAATATTACCAAAGATATCATTTCACTTTTTAAGCTGTAGTTTTTAGGATGAGGGAATGGATGCATTCCATCTGATGCCTACTCATTCTGTATTAAGCCATGCTGTAAAATTTGTGAGTAGTTTGTATCAATGCCCAAATGCTCAGCTTGTTAGGTATTAGTATACTATCAAAAGTACAGTTTTTGTAGGCTTTTATAGCTACTACCTCACAAGGAAGTGTTGTGGCTAATATATTTGGCCACTTTAGACTTTTTCTACCTTGAAAGACTACATATGCATTTACAGCTAGGTAACCTGAGAATATTTTCTGACAATAGTTTGAAGTAAGAGTTGAACTGAAACATCAAGATTTGGATTAAATATCAGTTCCAAGCTATTTCTAATAGTAGTGCACTGTAATAGTCCTCAAGTTAATGTTTTCATATTAAATTTATCAGGTAATACATTGTTGGATTTTTTTATCTTCTGTCTAAAAGAATGAATGCTGGGACAGAGGTGATTATTGCTTAAAGTGCTAAACTTGCCTGTTTACTATTAAATAAAATGTGCTTAAGTCATAAAAAGTATGCATAATGCACACTGAATTTATGTAAATCAAATAAATATGTTCATTTACTGTTTTAGGTTAAATTTTTTCCGCGATGTTCCTGAATTCAGAGTACTGGCATGTGGTGGAGATGGAACAGTGGGCTGGATTTTGGATTGCATAGGTAATCAATAATGTTTCCATAGTTTTGCTTGACCAGTTACTCATGATCTTCATTTTACTACTCTCCCTTATTTATCAACATGTGGCTCCAACTATTTCAAACATGATTTTTTTCATCTGAATTATTGAAATTTATTAGTTTTGGGTATTATTAAGAATATCCAAATTATTAAAGGCGTTCAAAATCCCTACATAAGCCCAGTTTGTGTATTTCTGGGAATCCTCTGGACTCCCAGAAAGCAGGAAATACTGAATCAATTTATTCAATTTTCAGTTCAAAGTCAATTCCCTATACTGAATCAAATCCAATTAATTTTTTTTTCAAGACCGTTTACCTTTGCTCATTGGCTTTTTCCAGTTTCCACGGTTTTGTTTATACTCCTTATCCCATAACAGGGATAATGGGATAACAGTCCTTTGGAGAGGACTGTTCTGAGAGCCATGCAAATCTCTCAGCTGTATACTTGTGGGGCCTGTTTGTCAGTTCAGATTCTAAGTTCTTTCAGGCACTTGGCCATAAAGTGCTCTGTAAGTCAAATCATTAGAAAGATCCAGACATCAAGATATTAAAATTTTAAATTTCTGAAGGCTTATTAGGGAGAATATCTCTGGCACCTCGTGATTGTTTATTTAGCACTAGAGAGGCTGTAGAGACTAAAATGGGAATGTGGCAATGGAAAATGGGAAGGAGGAGAAGAGAGGCCAAAAGTCTCAATTGAAAGTTGGGATGAGGAATGTGAAAACGTCTCTGCTTTTGGAAGATGAAGACCAGAAAACCTTTCAGAAAGAGGACAGTGAAGAGGTAAAGATGATATGATGGAGGAATGGATAGTAGGAGAGGTGTGTTTTTAATCTTAGTTAATTTTTTTTTGGGGGGCAAATGCAGGCTATTGATTGTAGCTCTCAAATAAGTTTCAGAATTATAAATCACTGTGTGTTAATGTCTGATGTACTGCCTAAACTTGGAAGGGATGAAATTTTGCAGCTGATATTGCATCATTACCTTCTTGTTGAGAAGGACTAAAATTTCATGCAGTCACCTTTCTTTTTTAGTGGCGTTATTTGAACGAAAGACTACCTGTTGACTCACTTAAATTCTGTCTTCCACAGCAATTTTTGTGGTACAGCAAGTTCTATGAGTTCTGTAGGTGCAGGAAATAGATTCTGAATGTCGCCTTTTAGGCGAACAAGACTTAGGCACAAGTGATGCTTATGAAGTTTAAGAAATCAACTGGTTTGAGAAACAGACACTTTTCAGTGTGATCATTTCTTCCCTGGTCTCCTGATTTAAAAATAATAACAGAGAGCAAAGCATAAGGAAAACCCTGTATTTTTATCTCCACAATTGAGAAGACTTTTCAGCTTGACAATTTTTTTTCTTTGGTTAAAGGCCTTAAAGCTTTGCAATACTCTTATAAATGCCAAATCCTCCTAAAGAATTGAAGATAGAAACTAATAACAAGATGTCCCTGTCACATCCATTAGATATGAACTCATGCTGAGAATTGCTGAGAATTGTGCATTATTCTGTGTAACAAAATAGCAGATTTACTATTCAAGTATAGCTTGTAAACTAGATATGCTACTCATTTCTGTTAAATGGAGACTTGGACAAATTATGCATTTGAAGGATTATGCCTAAATGATATTTGCACCACTTCCAGTGATAGAGATTTTGGTATTTGTTGATGAGGGTTTTTCCGCTGGGTTTTGAATAGAAATCCTTTGACTTGAGACACTAGAAAAGTATAGTTAAGAAACAAAAGTCACTATAAGTACATACATTTCATAATCTAAGTACATAAATTTCAAAATATTCATTTTAAGTACAAATTGCTGGCTTAGAGTGCTCATTTTGAATATCAAATTTAATTTCTGATGGGCAAAATTTATAGTGCTGGCTACAAGGAGTTCTTGGTAGTGGTGCTCATGTGCAGACATGAATCCATGTGGATGCATCATTAAACACAAATTAGATGAAAAGGTACAAGATTTGTCTCATTATTTGTGCCCTTAACTAATTATATTTGGCATTTTTAACTGAATGGCAGAGCTGGAAAAAACACAGAATACAATGCGATCTGTCTCAAAAAGATCTTGAATATCTTTGTTTATGCCAGACATCATACTCCTGGGTTCCAAAAGTTTGTGATAACAACAATAACATAAATTAATGATTGAATATTGACAAGGGGAGGGTCTGTGCAATGGAGTGGCTCTTATAGAGCCTGTTGTGGAGAATGTCGCAGAATTTGATATGCAAGACATGTCACTGTCATTCACTGAAACAAAACCTAGGACAGTTACTGTACTGGTACTGTGCAATTAGATTTTTGTTGCTTAGTTATATTTTTTCTTCTTTATTTACAGAGAAAGCAAACTTGCTTAAGCATCCTCCAGTTGCTATCCTGCCTCTTGGGACTGGCAATGATTTAGCGAGGTGTCTGAGATGGGGAGGAGGTAAAAACAAATTAAAATACCATTCATTATGTAATTAAAAACAAAAAATAAGTTTTACTTCAAAATCTACTCTCAAAATTTTAATTTCTCCTCTATGATGTATGTAAAGAACTATTATGTCTTTCTTCTCTTTGAATGAGCTGTCTGTAAATGTTACACAAACAGTTTTATAGATATTGAAGGTCATAATCACTCTTCATATTTTGTAGCTTTTGCTGACACCAAAAAAGCTCTAACATGCAATGAGAGTAGTATATAGTAATTGTTGGCTTATTACCATCTTGATAGCAGTTATTTCTTTGATCAATACGTTATAAAAGAGGTATTCTTAAATGCATTTTAATTCGAGCTGTTCTGAAAGGGTTACTGAAAACAGCTAATAATGGGTTTGGAATGGTTTCATCATTTTAATATGCATAAATATTAAATGATGAGTTCTTTTGATCCACTCTACTTCTTTCTTCCTATAGAGAATTCCAGACAATAAGTGCTATGGTGACTTTTATCAGGAAATGAGGAGGCAAAGAATACTGAAAAGAGAATGTATGTAAAGTCAAACCTTTGCATCCTTTCCTAGATGTATGAAGCCTCACTCTCAGGTCCTCCAATAACTTGTCTTCATCCACGATTTACATTGCAGGATGAAAAAAGAAGAGCAGGGCAACTTGAAAAAGAGAAACAAAAGGAGAAATTCTTAGACGAGACCCTTGTGGAAGTATGTCAGTTTACAGCCTCCCAACCTGTCTTGTTTCAGCTCTCAGTTGGTCATTTCAGTACAGATGTTGTTTATTTGGAACTAGGCTGTTTATTTGGAACTTCTCAGTCTTTGTGTACATACCTTTTCCTTCTGTCTCATCGTGGCAGGTTTCCTTTCCTGTTACCAGTTAGCTCCTTAGCAAATTCTCAGTAGTTTGCCTGCTATAGAACTTATTTGATAACTGTAATGTTCTGTCAAATTATTTCAGGATCTCCTCTATTTTCTCTGTCCTGGCTAGTAACTGTTTATTCACATAGTCTTGGAGAAAATCAAATCAGCCAAGCTCCGCTTTCTTGACAACTCAGAGAATAGAATGATAGAATAATTCGGGTTGGAAGGGATCACTGGAGGACTCTAATCCAATCTCTTGCTCCGAGCAGGATCAGCTGTGAGGCAGACCAGGTTGCTCAGGGCTTTATCCATTTGAGTCTTGAAAATCTCCAAGCATGGAGACTGCACAACATCTCTGGGCAAACTGTTCCAGTGCTGTCCTCATGGGTGAAGAAGTTTCTCCTTATATCCAGTGTGTCTCTCTCTTGTTTCAATGCTACACTCTTTGTCTGTCATTGTGCCACAATGTACCACTGTGAAGAGGCTGGCTGTGTTTTCTTCATTGGTATTGGCAGGCTGTTGTTAAGTCCCTTGTGCTATCTGAGCTTGACTATCCAATCAGTGATCTACCGATCTAATTTGCAACCCATCCAGACTGTATCGTCACAATTTGGATGCAAAAAATGTTGTGGGAAAAGTGCTAAATGCCTTTCTAAAATTAAAGTAATTAACATCTGTTCTCTGCACAAATCCAGTCATTTTATCATAGAAGGCAGTCAGGTTGGTCAGGCATGTTTTACCCTTGGTAAATCCATGCTGCCTGCTGCCTTTTCCTTCATGTGTCCCAAAAGGTGTTCCAAGAGAGTTTACTCCACAAATTTCCCATAGACGAAGGTGAGGCAGACTGGCCTGTAGTTTTCTGGAATGTTCTTTTAGCCTTTTTGAAGATGGGTTCAGCATTTGTCTTTTTCTGGTCATCAGGGACATTTCCCAATCTTCACGCCATTTCAAAGATGATAGCCTTGCAAAGACATTGTCCAGGTCTCTCAGAATGCTCAGTTGTAGCCCATCTGGTCCCATGGACTTGTATAGATGGAGTTCTCAAAAGTAATCTCTGTCTCAAACCTCATCTGCAGAAGATTCTTCTCCTGGAACCCTGCCACTCAGCATGGAAGCTTGGGAATCATTGCTGATGAGGAGTGAGGCAAAGGCGGCATTGAGCACCTCAGTCTTATCTGTGTCGACTGTGACTAATTCACCTCCCCCATGTCCCTCCCAGCTCTCTTTTCTTTGTTCTGCTCCCTACTACTAACTTGTAGTCAGGCAATTCTTTTTCGTGGATGACTTCTCTAGATCATTTCTCCCTCTTGTTGATGAGAGGGATGAAAACATCTAAAGAACTTGATGTGTCTTGTATTCAAGAAATAAAGCAAAAGTGCAATGTAAAGCAAAAGTATTCAGTGGGGCTGAGGTCTGTAAACAAACTGGGTCTCTCAAGAAAGAGTTCTCTAAGAACAGAGCACAGTGTTTTAATATCAACAGCAATATCATTTAGTGTCAGTAATAGAAAATATATTCCAAACAAAATTTTGTTAGGCTGTAAAGAGACCTGTCAGTTCATTGTCAGACAGCATGTAATAATTTTGCTTCTACAAAAGATAACATGACTTGAGCTCCATTTCATTTTGTGGGATTCCATTAATAAGTAAAATCAAGCACTGCTCCTTTGAGATAAATCATTGTACTAATTTTTTCTGCTAGTAAGCCTAAGACTAAAATATTGTGTGAAATTGGTAAAATAAAGAATCAGCTTCTGGCATCCTTTTTCAGGATTCAATTTCAAATAATATTCTCTTCAGAAACTCAAAATGAAGTCCTAATACCTGCCTAGATGTCTTGATCAAATGTCTCTGATGATCAAATGTCTTTTCCATCAGTATGGAAAGTTAGTGATCAGCATACTTAATGATGGTTCTTGACGGTTTTTCGCAGTAGGTCTGCATATCTTTAAATTGTTCCTTCACAGGTCAAAATTATCTGAGTTCTCCAGAGTATGAAATTCCCCTGTCTTTGCTCAAGTTTTAGGTGCATTTGCCTCTCAGCATTAAATCATTTTTTTCCTGCAGTATGCATACCTCCCTTTTTCTAAATGCATTTCCTCATGGAGAAAGTTTATCAGATATCGGCTCTCAGGCACTTGCCAGCTATGCTGCAGTATCTGTAAGACATGCATGAAGAGTTCCCATGAATTTACTGATTATGAGAATACCTCTGTGATCGTCTACCATTCTGTCTGTTGGCTAATTTCTGTAATCCCTGATCTTGGTCCTACCATTTTTTTGCCTTCTGTATAGGTGAACTATGAGCCTTATTTACCTGTAAACTGAATTCTTCCTTTTCCTTTGGGAAAGCACTACACTTCAGCAAGTTAAAAACCAAAACAACAGCAAAATGCCTAGTCCTATTACAACAAACTTGCAACACAATTATGCTCTTGTTTGGATCAGCTCTGTTCATCTGAATCTGAAAAACTGAGTCACAGTTTTCTCTTCTATGATCCTACTAGCTTTTAGCTAAAATTTTAGCTAGAAACTAAATTTTTACTCATCTATTTTTTTTCAAGCCAGATTAATTGTACTTGCTTGTTTCATCTTCCCATGCTGAGAAGGTCTAAGTAATTACAGTGGAAGTTTGCAGAGACGTTAAAGTCATGCTGTGTGTTTCTTTTCTCTGTCACTGTGGCATAGGTTCCTCAATGAGGTGAAACAAATAAAGCTCATCAAGTTCACCTCTGCCCATTTGTTCAAACTTTCTGCAAGAGAAGATGGGAATGAACAACAATGGACAGTTACTACTTTTAATTATATTTCTCAAGATCTGTTCTTCCATTCACCCATTTACTTCTGTTTTGAGTTATTCCATCTGAACTGAAAGTTACCAGTTTGAAAATTAGCTAATGAAACAGTGGAGAGAATGGAAAGAGATGATATGGAAGTATTCTGGCTTTCACTATTCTTTGCCTACTTCCCTTCTGGTAGACAATGCCATAACACAGATTTTCTGTAACTTTGATAGGATGGGAGAACAGATGGGGGCTTCAGGAAACTAGATTACTGGTGAGTGGTCTCAGGGATGCAGAAAAATAGAATTGTGCACGTTGTTGGTATGTGGTGGCTGGCAGTAACTAACAAATACAAATATATTATACAGCAATAAAGAAGTACATCAGCAATGCGTTTGTCCAGGAAGGTGCTGAATGTCTTCATTTTCTTCTTTTGCACATGCTGAATTATGGTTGAACCAGTAGCTATGAAAAGAACTCCTGATATTAGTTCTAGTTTTTCCTTATACCAGAAATACACCTTCTGCTTGCTCAAGATGAGGCTTTAATTTGTTAAAATTGCTAATGACCCAGGTAGTATATATTACTTGAATGGGAACAGTTATTTCTGGTTTGAAGAAGGAATGAATCCACAGATCTCAGCTACCTATTACAGAGCTATTTTGTCTGAATAGCATATAGAGCTGATAATATTCCTCAGTAAAATTCCTTTTTATATGTGTATGTGCATACACGTACTTTGGCTTGTTTATACTGAAATGGTTGTAAGCAAGAGTTTTCTATCCAGTTTAGTACAGTGCAGTATATTACAGTAGGTAATTACATTTAAGTAGTCCAGTGAACTACCTAAAGACTTTTGCAGTTCTTGGCAAGAATGAGTAAGATACAGAGCAGGGTAAGGTTCATGAAGAGGTAGTTAAAATATGTAAAAACATGGCTATTCTGCTAACTAGGCATCTTTTCAGTCATGAACGAATTTCAAATTTTGTATTTGTTTTGCTAGACCATGTTGAAAACATTGACAAAAAACAGTAAATAGCTTTCACTCTATTGTCAGACTTTCATTAGGCACAAATCCAAGCTTCTGTGTGTCTTTTTGCATAAAATTTGAAATTAAAGATATTAAATATTAAGATTCATTTTATATCAAGAATTTTATACAAAGTATAACTTCAAGTCTTTGGATAACTGCTATAATCATTTTGAAAACTCAAAGGAATGACAAATCTATTAGGAGATCAAATTATTTTCTCCAGTGTCAGTATAAATCCAATGCCCAGTGAAATCTGTAGAGTTACTCTAAGTTTACAGTGCAGAAGTCAGCTCTGTATTTATATTCCTTTAATGATAGATGCTGGAAAATCGCCAGTACTTGAAAACACAGTCCTACTTTTCAGGTTTTAGATGCATGGTTTTCATTTTCCCAGTCCCTGAGAAAGAGAGAGAAAACCGAATACAACTTTTATCATGTTTGGTCAAAATCAACATCTTCACCTTTTGCTAGGTTATGAAGGTGAGAATTTGATGAAGATCTTAAAAGACATTGAGAACAGCACAGAAATTTTGCTGGACAGGTGGAAATTTGAAGTAATACCCAATGATAAAGATGAGAAAGGAGACCCAGTGCCTTACAACATCATCAATAACTACTTCTCAATTGGCGTGGTAAGACTTATGCTTATCCTTAAGTGATTTTTTTTCTGTTTTGAATAAGTATTTATTTACATTGCAAGTCTTAGTGAAGAATGGTTGGCTACAGATCATCTGTAATGTTATTTTGTTAGTGAAATGAATACATAGGTGACTGACAGCAATTTGCATACATTTACTTACATTCAAACCATAATTACTTTTCAGGCTCTTCTACCTTCCCACGTATAAAGAAGATATCTGTGTTGTTCCTAATAGTTTATGAGCAGCCATAGCACTAAATTTAGACTGTCATTTATAAAGATCCTAAAAAAAAAAGAAAAATAGTCACTTAAATAAGAACTCTAAATAACCTCTGTTAGTAATTCATGTATTCAGAACTGTTTAAAAGAACAGTGGCATTTTTTCTTTCTTCCGGGCAGTTTTAAGTAATAAAATGAAAAATACCCTAAGTATCTTCTTGGTTCTGTCCATAGATGGATATTCACAACTAGAGTGAATAAAGAGGATACAGGGTTTAAGAAGCTTTTCAGCTCTTAGGAACTGCGTTTCTAGCTTGTGCTTCTCCATGATTTTCCATAATTTCATCTGCTATCCACACTGCATATATGAGAGGAATCAGGGGTTGTCCAGTATGCCTCTCCTTTTACTATGGATACACTTTCAAACACAGCCAGAAGGGGACCATAATGAGGTCCAAATTTAACAGATTGAATAGTTCACAAATTGGATTTATAACTTGGACACAACTGCAGTCTAATTAACATGGGAATGTACCCTCAAATAGCTAGCGCTGGCTGTTCTAAAAGAAACTTGCTCCACCTACCTTCTACATTCCAAGAATCTGTATATTATATATCTAATTCGGCAATCCAGTGTTTCAAATTGCTGTAAAAAGTGTTTTAATAGAAAGTACCACATGCTGTAAATCCAAGGAAATTGAGGCTCTGTTAATTCTGCTGCAGCCTTAACAAGGTTCTGCCACAACTTTAGATGGTTGTAGATATTCTTGATGAAACTTTTATGTAATATTGTTTGTAATTCTATAATTTTGATATAATGTGAATAAGCAGCATGCAGAGATAGCCTAGTCCTTATAAATGTAGTTTGGCTTCCTCTACTGTGTAGTCCTAAATATTCAAAAAAAAAGGTCTTCCCGAGGTTAAGATATTCAAGAAATTGAGAAATTCTGTTTTCTTTTTGCTTGTGTTACCAGATTTATTAGCCTACGTTGTTCAAAACAAGTGCAGAGAATAACTAGATGCAATAGAAATTACAGAAATTAGGATATGAAAGTATATAAATGTATATAAATGCAAAATATATGCACCAAAGCTAGTGCAAATCAAGTTCGTAAAGAGTCCATAAATAGGAAACAGAGTGCAAAGGAAAACCTTTGGTTATAGGAAAAATATCATGATAATGGAAATGCCATGCACAGGGAGACATATTCTTTGACTTTGTCAAAAGAGAATATTGATGCTAAAGCTCACAGACAGAGAAAGAAAATATATTACACTGAGGAAGTAAGCAAAAGGTGAGAGGGATGAGGGATGAGATTTTACACTTGTATATTAATACAGTGCAATTTAAACAGTTTATAAAATGTAGAGTAGCACCACATGTAAAGGCACAGCACAGAAGCAGGAAATTGAATGCCAAATAGATAGTGGGACATCTGTGAATGTGCTAGGCTTCAAAGAATTCTTTAGCATTATTCAAGAGAAGAAAACAGAATTGCATTCAAGAAAAGTTGAATTGAAATTACACCGTGGCAAGATCATAATACTATTAAGGACACTGTAATTTACTTGCAGAATACCCAAGGCTAACATTTCAGGTTCTACAGGCAACCAGAAGAGTCTATTTTCAGTTAAAGCATACGAATTCATGAATTTAATCACACTAAACTTGTGATTTTTTCACAGAATAGAAATGTGAGCAGCACAAAATGATGCCAACAATGGACAATATAATAAGTTGCATGCAGCTTCTGAAATTGTTAAGATAATATTTTTGACAAGTAAGATCTCTTGCCAGGTTCATTACACACAGTAATGTACAAAATGCCTGTCTCAGTTTCACTGAATTAAGTAATGAGGCAAAGCAAATGGAAAAATTCAGAAATTGGAGTTTAGACTTGTAAAAATTATGTAATTCACATATTAGGTAACATTCGCTGTAACTCCTGAAAAGCAAGAGAAAATGTTTATTTATATCTATGCAAATAGACGGTTTAAAGTACTGAAAATGGGTTATAAAGTGGCCAGAACTGAAGTAAACCTGTTTTCACAAAATCAGAATTGTTTTCAATACTTGGTGCCTAATGCAAACTTTGACAAGCACTACTGAACGTGAAAGCCAAGCAAATGGTACTTGAAGAACCTCAGAAAGTCACCTATCCGTTCCTGTCCCTAAGGTAGTGTCAGTGACACCTGCCTCATCATTCCTGACAGATATTTATCTAGTTTATCTCTAGAAATCCCCAATAAAGGAAATTACTTTATTTGTCTGAAAAGGCCTTCTATATTATTTTGTTGTCCTTACTCTCAAATTTTTTTCATATCTAATCCAAATTGTCTTGCAGTCTAATCCTAGAACATCTTGTACTGTACAAAGTGAATAAGATAAACAATTTATTCTATTCTCCTGTTAAAATACCTATTGTCTACTAGAAGGTCTATCAGATCTTGCCTCTGTCTTGTGTCCCGTAGCCTGCCTAACCCCAATTTCTTCAACCTTTTCTCACAGATTATGTTTTTAGATATCTGTTATGTGTTGCCTTTATGTGTATTTAGTTAAAAACATAAGAATTCAATCCAGTTACTGCCTGTGATCCATATCTCTCTGGAACTGTAGCGCTCCCAATTACACACGGTGCATTTAATGTCTTAGCAGCACTAAGTAGAGAAGAGTAATTAATTTCTATGTCTTGCAGATGATACCTTTTTTTACAAAAAATTATGTGAAATTTGCCTTCTTAACATTAGCATCATTTTTTGTTCCTATTTGACTTGTGATCCATTGTTAATTCCATATATTTTTTTGAAAAACCTCTACTCTGTATTTCATGTGCGTTTTGCATAGCTAATTATTCCTACCTACATGTAGAACCTTACACTTATTGAGTTACATCCTCTTTTAATTTTTATACTTTTTACGAAGCACTGTGAGTACTAATGGTATCCTACAAAACACTTCACATTACTTTGTAGATTCATGCCGAATAATAAGCACAGTCTCTATTGTATTATGAATAGAACCTGCTATATGGATTTTAAAACAGTATGGCAGAAACTGCATTTGACAACAAGCATAGTATCTGCCTAAAAAGGCCAAAGGAATAAAACTAAATAAAAACTAGATAAAATAGTGATTGACATGGGACTCTTTCTAGCTTAGGATCATAATTCAGGTTGGAAGGGATCACAGGAGGTTGCTGTTCCAAGCTCCTGCTCCAAGCGGGATCAGCTGTGAGAGCAGAGCACATTGCTCAGGGCTTTATCCATTTGGGTCTCGAAAACCTCCAAGCATGGAGACTGCACAACATCTCTGGGCAAACTGTTCCAGTGCTTGACTGTCCTCATGGGTGAAGAAGTTTCTCCTTACATCCAGTGTGTCTCTCTCTTGTTTCAATGCTACACTCTTTGTCTGTCATTGTGCCACAACGGACCATTGTGAAGAGGCTGACTGTGTGTTCTTAATAACTTCTTCAATGACCTTGGCAGGCTACTATTAGATCCCCCTGAACCTGATCATCCAGCCAATCTTTTTTACCCATCTATTTTCCATCAATTCAGACAATTTCAGCCCAGGCCTGGGCCATCAGTCCCTGCCCTGGTGACACTGTTGCAGTGCCTGTCTTGAGCTGTAGCCATGCCTGTCTCCAGCTCCACCATGGTACTGGTCTTGCCCAGCCATGGGCCTGATCCCGACCCATGGGTGAACTGCTCGGCCCAGGCTCAGCCCAGCCCCGTCACCAAGGCCCTGCCCAGCCATTGTGAGGGTGTGTCTGACCCTGATTAACCTTGCTGGACCTGTCACAGATCGCAAAACCCATGAGCTGATGTCCAGGCCTGGCCTCAGCCTCTTCCCCACATAGGTGCCTAATGCCCAGATCTGAGTCTGCCCCAGCTTGCCCGACTTGCTTGCTGGGGCTGTGGGATGAGTGATGACCCTCATGGCAGCATGACATGGCAAATCCAGGCTGACTGTTCCCAGTCACTATATTCCCCACGTGCCCAGAAATGTGTTCCGGGAGTACTTCCTTCCTCAAAGATATGTCTTCAGCCAAAGAGGCTAAAGCACCACCAAACTCTGAAGACACTAAATAAGTAAGGATCTGCCAAATTTGTAACATAATGACCAACATTTATTTCAAGCCTTTGAAATACGTGTTCTATATCATATGTGACTATGAAAATGAGGCCTGGTTATTTTTAATTCAGTATGATGAGCATCCCAAACAGTAAGGTCTTGATAGTCAAATAACTCAAGCTTCAGTGCAAATGGACAAAAATGTTATTACACAACATGACATCAGTGAGGGGGAACCAACAGCAGACCTCTGTCAGCCATTGCTTTAATATAAGGTTTGCCATCTTCAGCAAAACAGTGATGCACTCAGTTGAGAAGGAATGCTTTACAATAGTTTGAATATGTGAAAAATTTGATTAGTATGTTCAGGACAATAAAAAGCATTTTTCTACAGCAATCTCAGAACTCTGAGATATGTACTATACAGTATATAAGTACAGGAAAATGAACAAGAAAAATTGAGATTTGGTAAATGACTGAGTATATGAGATGTTCAACCTGATGGAAGCACAGAGCACAGAAAAGCCATACAAAGCATCAACCAAGCTATGTGTCAGTTTCCAAGCATGAGCTAGAAAACATCTAAGAACAAAGTAGAATAAGATAAAGATTTTCAAGTTCTCACATCCATCATTCTGTCAGGATGGCAAGATACCAGGAGAGAAGTCCCATCTGCTTCCCAATAATACTGGAATCAC